TATTGATTTATAATATGTGAGCAACACTTGTTCCTTTATTGTTATGAAGTATCCAGTGGGATACTCATTTCTCTAGTATTTAAAACCAGGGAAATGTAAAATATAAAGTAAAATACAGAAGTCTTTCTGTGTCCCTAGTCTAGAATGGTGGATTTTCCTTCTACGGGTTTTAATGGATCCATCAATAAAATAAATTGATGATGACAGAGTTCCAGGAAAAATGAAATTTCTAAATAATATAAATAGCTATATGACAACATATAGATTAACTCTGTCTTTCCTGTTTGCCAAATCTTCTTATTGCCAATAATCATTGCAACACAAATTGAGTGATTTGTTTCCTAAAAAGTCATGGCCATACATATTTGTTTCCCAAATAATATGATGACTTGCTCAAAGAAAACCAAACTAAATCATCTTATAACTTGACACTTGTCTATAAATTAATGTATGTTTAAAAAGGAAAAATAAAATAAGATGAAAACAGAGAGAGTGGCAAACCATAAGAGACTCTTAACTCTAGGAACCAAACTGAGTGTTGCTGGAGGGGAGGTGGGTGGGGAAATGGGGTAACTGGGTGATAGGCATTAAGGAGGGCACCTGATGTAATGAGCACTGGGTGTAATATGTAACTGATGAATCACTAAATTCTACCCCTGAAACTAATAATACACTATATGTTAACTAAATTGAATTTAATTTTTTTTAAAAAGGATAAATATAAATATTTTCCCTAATCTGTTTTTTAATAAGAGGCAGTTTTCCTGCAAAAGGTGGGTACAACTCATAAAGGGTTAAGGGAATTGGGATAGTACAAGCAAATGGAAGGACATGTATTTATTTATAAAGACAATAAACACTACAGTTTGCCTGGAACATAGAGTACATTTTGAGGGCATACTGCAAAATAAAAAAAGAAAAAAGCAGGTGCGATTTATCTTACAAGTATATCTAAAATAATACATGTTGGAATTTAAATGTTTTAAGTGTTAATGTTGCACTCACTAAAGAAACTAAAATTATGTTAAAGTTTACTTTTGTGACATGAATAACAACTAGCAATCTATTGAAATTTTAAGTTCCTATAGTTGTATGTTCTTGCTTAAATCTTGGGATAATTATAACTAGGAATGTTTTGTCATAAAAACAAGAGACTTGGAAAATCTTTATACCCTTAAGGTGCATGCTTAGAGAATAAGCTCACAAGTCTCAGCAATAAAGCAAGGCTTAAATTAAATATTCTCCTAAATTATTCAATGAACTGGAAATAACTCACAGATACTTGTAAACAAAATAGTTTAAATAATATAACATGTCTTAATTTGAAATTTGATCAGGAGGCAAGAAGGCTTTACTGCATCAGTGTTTCAATAAATTAAACACATATAGAAAGTTTATAAGGAAAAATCATATAAACCTTGAATGTCATTTTGGTGAGGCATCACTTGGTAATAATATGGTATCGATACTTTAATTCAGACTTGAGTGGGGAATTTAAAAACATGTAAATACTATGGAAAAGTTGCCAGTGACTATTATAAACACTATAATTTAGTTGGTATTTTAATATGATCTTGTTATTCTCAGATCTCACCATCTAAAATGTCAGGAAAAAGAAAGTGATTTAAGTTGCAGCTGGAGAAAATTAAGTAACAAAATAAAATATACAGGGTTTTATTCCAGTTAAGAAATTAATAGCAATAAGAAAAAAGTTATGGGAATTCCTCCCTGGAGATGTTTAAGAGCAAGATAAATATCCATCTGCCTAGAATAGTTTTAGTGTGGCTTGCCTGGAGGAAGCGGAATAAGATCTGCTAATTTGCAAAATTTTCACAGCATCAGTTTCATATCATCAAGTTGCTGCCTTGAGCATATTTGGCCAATCCACAAGATTAGAGTAAGTGCTTCCAGGGAAAATCTTCTGATAACTGGAATTTGCTCTGAATAAGGCCTGAATGTGGTAAATCCAATAAACCTGTTACAGCGCACCAGACTGGGCATTTAGACAGCTCTACACAAAATATCGTCGTATTGTCGTAATGCAGTAAAGAACATATTTCTTCTGTCTAGACTTCTTTTTTCTCTTTTATTCTCTGAATGAGTTAGAACAGTAGACATCCGCCATGCAAGATTATCCAAACTGTAAATGCATACAGTGGATTGATAAATAGGACAGAGTACTGTACCTCTCCTTCCCACGCTGAATATTAATAATGTTAATTTTTGAGTTGTTTTATTGAGTCATTACTTGATGACTGATGGTTACCTTGAATAATAATACAGATTAAAATTTACCCTCAGTTCTAACATATTTTGCCAGACATCTTCTTAACTTTTAATGGTTAAACTAATCTTCATACAAAGCCCCATGAAACTGCTAAATTTTTTTCTTTTGGAACAATGTAGTTTGAACTATGTTTCAATTATAGAAACATGCATTTTAACTGTAAAATTCTATAAAATTGTAGCTTTGATCCTAATTAATTATATAAACCTATAAATGCACTGTGGTATTTCAATGTTGCTCTAAAGGTCTTTGACATTGTTATGTGGAAGGCAGAGAGAATAGTGGAAATCAATTCTAACTTTGCATTGATTCGTTAATAGATTCTAACTTCCTCAATCTACCCTTGTCTGCTGCGACTCACCAACACATAACATGAATCAATATCCTTGAATCCTTGAAGATTCCTTTAGATTTTCTTTCAGGAACTCTTTTCTACGATTCCCTGATGACCTCAAGCCATATTTTTTATCTCTTTCCTCAGGACCTGTAGCATGTAATACCTTGCTTATAAACCAAGGTCTGGTGTATATTTAGTAATTTCTGCTATACTTTCTTTTTCCACTTATTAGCCCCATGTCCAATTGACCCATACTAGACACGGATCTACCCTAACCATGCCCAATATTGCAAACTACTTCATGTTCCACTTTCCTAAATCTTTACTACACCTTTTTAAGGGCTAACTTCTAGTAGTTGATTAGTGAGTACTTACAGAATGAAATAATACACTCCATTTTATAGCATTTTACTAAACGGCCTTTCACATATCTTCTTTCCCTAATAACCACATCGAACCCAAGCAATTATCATATTCATTTTACAGAAGTGAAACTAAGACTCAATGGAGTTTACCGATTTGTCATACCTACCAATACAGTAAGTAGCGAGATTCCAAGACTCTAGTCCTAAACCCATCTCTCTGTATACATATTAACTGCCCTTAAATTTGGAGGGAAAATGATGCATATAGGGGAAGAAAAAGATTTTCAAGATCCTGCTAAATCAATATCGCATTCTTCATAGCACACTGGCAAGCATCTCACTTTTCTTTTTATCTCTAAACTTCTAAAATCACAGTCTTTAAGGATAAATAAAGAGGACATAAGGAGGAATCCCATCATGACTAGTATCCAATGGGATAATGCCAAATGTATCCCTAAATATGGAAGATGGGCTACTTATAGACTTGGATTCCCTGAATATCTTTACTAAGAAGACTAAAAGCCACCTGTTTTAAGGATTTAGAGATAATACTATTGTAAGATTGCAAGTGGCATTCCCAGAGGGTGGTCAACTATAGCCATGATTATCCTTTTAAGTGACATACAGGCAACTTGAGTAGGTGCTGTATTGGGATCTTCATATAGTTCTGACCGGACATAGGATACGAAGGTAGTTTTGAACACCTTACATCTCAGAATCTGCCTGAAGACCTCCTCAAACACTAGCAAGAGCAGATAAAAAGAAAGCAAACAAAATCCTCTTAACATGCAAACATTCGTGAAAACCTAGGGCCAGAATTTTAAGGGCTCCACACATTTCTATCTAGAAGTCTATATTTTTCTGTCCTTACTTGTACATTTAGAAAGTACAAATTTAACGCAAAAATCATTTACACTGAGGAGAAATGCAGAGGCCAAAACTTGCAGCTTTATAAACAGTCATCCTCTTTGACGACAGAAAACATCTGTCTCACTCTTCCTACTGGAAAAATAATGTTGTATCCCACCATGGAGAATGCCAAATATAAGTGAATTCTTGAAAAGTGCCTGCATTGTTTATCACTAGCTAAGAAATATTGAATTCCTGATAGTTAATCTCAGCACACAGAGGCTTTTTTCTCCCTACATTCCAAAGTAATGTAAAAGCTACGGACAACACTTTATGTCCTAGCATTTGCAGTCCGTCAAAAACAATCATTTTCAAAGGTTTGTGTAGTATTTTAGAATTTATAAGATATATATTGACAAAATTAGGATTGTTACTGAAATCTTAAATCTGATATGTATCTTCAAAGCAATAGGCACTTGCAAAAAAACACTTCTACACAAGACACTGGATTTATAAAAGGAAAATTCAGAAACATGGTTTCCTTTACTTCATGCTTTTTTTTCTTTTTAAAGAGGGTTATATCCATATTCTTTCATAAAGATATGAGGGGAAAATATGCAAGAAAAATATTCACACAAAGGGAAAGACATAATTTTCTCATTCTCACACTTTTGGCATGTAATGAAAACAGTGATCTAAAAGTGATAAAAACAAAAACAAAAACAAAAACCCTACAGCTCCAGGCATCTCTAACAAGAAAATATTATCTACTCTTTCTAGAAAAAAATAGTTTATATTCTTCATTTCCAGTAAACACTGATAACAACAGAAAAGGGAGTTACTGATGTAAGTTGACAGTAAAAATGAAGAAAATACGCTGTAAATACCTTTTAATCAAATCCTTTCTTGAGATTTCACAAGATTAATCACAAAATTTGAAGAATGAATTTGGTAACAACTTCAGACGCAAGACATCTTTTACATGAGAATTTCTCCAGGTAGCTTGTGAGAGCCATTTAAGACTTATTGTTACAAGCTTTCCTAAGCAAGCATGAAGATAAATAGGGCTTTCATTTTTTTTCTGACACATTATTCAATATAAATTTAATGTTGAAAATAGATAACTTTAAAACAACAGTATAAGTTAGAAAAAAATACTTACAGATTTTTAATGTCAACTGCCCCACGGAAAGCCTTCCTTGGAATTGCCTGAATTTGATTTTCACTGAGATCACTGAAAATGACAAAAAAGGAAAAGGTCAAGTTATAAAATATCATTTAAAATTATTTTAATCAATGTGCTTGACAAATAATAAAACACCTCTTAAAATACCTGAAAAATACTACCAGGATCATAATTAAATCCATATCATCAGATGCAATTTCTAATACAAATAATTTATATTCATAATATAGATTAAAGGTTGAACTAAGTGGTTTCTTGAAGTACTTTTCCAGATCTTTAATTTCATAATAAATTATAAAATATGATTCTCTTAAATTTGAGTTAATTCAATTCTGTGTTATACACTATTCCTTTAAAACCCCAAAAACAAAAAACAAACAAAAAATAGCAAATTGTTCATAACTCAATTTCAAGGGGTTCTCAGGTTTTAGTACTTGATATTTCTCCAACATCACTGGCATAACTTACAAAGTATATACGAAAGAAGTCCATTTTAACATCCTAGAGAAGAGCAGCCAAAAACTGATAAAACCTAGGCAGCATGATTAAGTTTTTGCAGCGCTTTAAGTAATGTTGAAAATGGAACATGGCAGTACCAGCCCAACAATAAAAGCAACAGTTCTTGCATGAAATATTAACAGCACGTTGATTTAAAACCTTCTTTAAATAATTCCATTAAAACCATAAACACAGACTGTCTATATTTGCATTTTAATTTAATTTAGAAATACATTTTAATCAAGGGGGAAAAAAGCACTCTTTCAGTTGGAATAAGAAGTTTGTAAAAATCACTCATCTCATGAAATGGATCATTATTTTTCCCTCAGAGTTCAGGCAAATTCAATGAGCTTACATAGTATTAGCCTTAACAAGTAGGATATAAATATACATGCAGGAAATGTAACTGAAAACAGGGAAATGCTCATCTAATTTTAAGTCACACCACCAGACAGCAGAACGTTGAGATATCAAATAAATAAATTATTAGTCACAATGATGGTGCTAAAATTATCTTTAAAATTCTAAGATAGCTGATGCTCATTAAGAAAGATGAAACTACTAACCACGGGTGCTTAGCTGATGAAAACAGAGCCATTTTCCAATTATGTGGAAGTGTATGGGATGGATTCATCCACATCCTCTCCCCTAACGCTTCTTATGACCAGAGCTTGTTGTTCGTATACTTGTGGTCACGCAATAGAGATAATTGGCAGACAGAGAGATTTAGTGTGTGGTCCTGACCTCATTAGCACCAAGTTTTAAACAACTGAGATTTGCATTCCTATCTCAATATTCTCAACGTCCAAATAAAAAATGTTTGCTAAGCAATTCGTAAAGAAATAAATGTTCATCTACTTAAGGGGTAAAGGTCTCTAGGAAAAAAAAAAAGCAAAACACACATATTTTATTTCAAACAGTAAATTTATAATACGTGCTTATGTAGGAGTTAAGGCAGTCATCCATTTCCTAAGTGCTGTAGCTCCGTTACTGCTTTCAGTAGTTTCAGTATATACCTAAAAGTAATAAAACTTCATTTCCTTAAAAATTGCTTATTTCTCCAGCTTGTCATTGATTCAGACTGACTTCCTTCCCTTAATTGCATCATGTTAAGAATGTTTAACAGTGTATATTTAACAGCCTTGATGCTGGAAAAGTGTTGAAGGGAGGCTACCGAGCAAGGAGAAAGTAAAGAAAAACACTGGAAAAAAGAAAAACCAGAATGTAATACAAATGAGGAGGGAAAAAACATTGAACCCAAGCAAATTTGAATCTGCAATGCGCCATGAAAACCAACAGTGGTGTTGTTACTGCTGTCTCTGTCAATTCAATGTTTTCTCATCACTTATGTTTCTCTGCTTCTCCCAAGACAAAGACTGCCTTGGAGGTTGTAGGTGAGTAAAAGTGGCAGAGCTGTTTCTTCCGATCTTGCCAGCGTTCTAGGCTCTGCAGCCTTCCCATCCAGCTGGCTGGGGCCGTTTCATTTGCCACCTGCAATCTCAGCTCTCCTCAGTCTCTATGCACAGTTTTTCCTAGGGTCGTGTTCTCAACGGGGAGATGGTGGGATGGGAGGAAAGTCAGAGGGATGATATTAGGTGGTTCATAGAGATATCACTGAAGAAAGTGAAATGCACAGTCAGAAGACCATTCCTTCTAAAATGGATTTTAGCAGAAGCTTCTGAGTCCCATAGGCAGAATTCTAGCACGTGGAAGAGTTTTATACTGCTAACACTTACCGGTCTTTTCTTTTTATGGAAGAATGAGAAACTGTCAACTGCCAATCCCAGTGCCTCTTTACTCCCCTAGGTCAATGGTTTAGGCGTGGCTGCCCCCCAACTAGACTGCTTCCAGACTAGTTTACAGGTTGTCTGCATTTGTGTCCAGTCCACCAGGGCAGGCAACTTCAGTTCTGGATCACAGGCCCCTTCAGTTAAGTGGACCATGTTCATCAATGACAGGAGAAAGAAACTTAACACATTTTCAGCACCTACACTATGCAACAGTTAATTTTTTATAAATAATATATTATCAGGTATGATCTCTATTTCCTTTAATCCCCATAACCATCTTGCCAAGTAGGTAACATTATCCTGGTTTTATAGGAAAGGAAATTAAGCTTCAGAAATGTAAGGTATTATTTCTAAACAACAAGACAAATGGTTTAAGTAAATATATAAGAAATATGGATAAATACTGAGTCAGGATTTGAGGAGTTCTAAAGATGACACAAGGGGCTACTTAATCAATCTCAATATGTCCTTCCTGTGCCCCAGAACTTAAAAGGCTTTTCCTTAACTTATCCTAGCCTCTGGTTTATGTCCTTTGCAAAATGATGGATTGGACTGTGTTAGAAATGACTCATTTTCTATAGATAATCAGGGGGAGGTTACCAGTTATTTCAATCCAACCTATATTCATTTTTAAGATCTACTACATGCAAGGCATTGGCTGATGTTGCAGGATTGCTGAGCTGGGGTAAGGCCTATTTCCTGGCTTCAGGAACTTTCAAATCCAGTAAAGAAGATAAGCAAGTAGCCAAACAGAAGGCCAACTGAGAGATTTAAACAAATTATCATGAGTCTACAAAAGCAAGACAGCACACTAAGAAAAAAGGTAATGTGAACGTGTCTAGATGTAAAGGCGAAGGAGTGGAGGACAGCACTTCTAGTGAAATAAATGTCACAAGTGAAATATGGAGGGGAAAAAATAGAACTTTTCATGAGAGTATCCTTTGGTCTGATTTGCTTAGAAGGTGCAACATCTACAGTAGAGTAATAGGAGGGGTGGTCAGAAGATTAAGTCAAAGGTGTGATGAGTAGATTTTTTGGTACCGATTGAGAAGTGCATTCTTATCTCAGCACACAATACTGGGGAGGGAAGGGTGGTAGACAGGATCAGGACAGAGGCTGTACCTCAGATAAACTAAACTGGCGATGGGATTTAGGATGAATACGTGGAGTCAAAGACTTGAGTCTGGAAGACCAGATACAAGACTTCTGTGATAGTCGGGGAAAGGGTAGTGAGAGCACAAGCGAGAAAACAACCAACAATATATCACTTGCTTACCATGGGCCAGTTAAGAACTGCAGCATCTCCTACTCTATAGATAGAAAAGGTGGAGAATATTAAGAGTGGTATCAGGGATGCATGAAAAAACAAAACTCAGGAGTAGATTGTAGGTGGATATGGATTCAGCAAGGGAGAGAAAGGAGACAGAAGTTACTTTGAACTTAGATTAAAGGTAGTGTTAATAAAATTGGGAAATCAGAAGAGCCATTTGCAGTGTTCATTATGAGTTTGGTTTGGGAAGTTTTTCAATCCAGTTAGAAAGATGTGATACATCACATAGTTTGGTGACAACAAAGAGAGTATATGCTCAGTAAAACATGCGTGGTAGCTGAGAAAGGTGATCTAGAAGATCAAAGAAGTAAGTCACTGGAGGTTAGATGGATCCAGGCCACTTTCAAAACAGAATGGGATTTTTTTTGGACCTTGATGAAAATGACAGAGCTCAGTAATTCTCAGCCTTCAGTATTGGAGATGGGGATGGTAGAAAGTGGTTGGCTGGAATCCAAGGAGAGAGCCAGAATGTCAAAGGATTTAAGAGCATAGAGTGCAGACCTAGACTATCTGTCATTTATTAACCACATGCCCTTGGAAGAACTGCTTACCCTTCTGTGCCTCAGTTTCTTCATCTGCAAATGGAATAGTGATAATGTTACTGCACAGGACTGTATGGTAAATTCAATGAGTCCATACTTTTATTTTTTAATTTTCCTAAAGACTCCATTTATTTATCAGAGAGGGGGAGTTCATGAGTCAGGGAGGAAGCAGATGAAGAAGCAGGCTGCATGCTGAGCAGCGAGCCCAATGCAGGGCTCGATCCCAGGACTCTGGAATCACGACCTGAGCCGAAGGCAGACCCTTAACCGACAGAGCCACCAGGAGCCCCAAGTTTATACTTTTAAAATGCTCATAAAAAATGCTCAAAAGTACCTGCACATAGTAAGCACCACAGAGGTGTTGGTCATATACATGATACAACTGTTTTACTCAGAGACTGTTATGTGCCCCTGAGTGTACTACTTTGTTCTTGAAGACCACTGCAGGCGATGTGAGACATTACTGATGGGAGTGTGCTGTTCTGTGAATTGTGTGGAATGAGAAAAATGAGTCAGAACTACTGAGTTAGCAGGAGGGAGCTGCCAAGGGAAGAGTTTGTAATTATATCACTAGGCAGTAGAGTGTAAAAATGTGTTTCAGAGTAGGAAAATGGTTTGACTGGAGTCAATTTTTAGGAAGATTAATCTGGAAATTGAATTTTGAAGCAGGCAGGGACAATGGACAGAGAACTGGTATTGGGCAGTGTTGGTGGAGAGAGACTGTGGGTCTCTAGTTAACTAGAAAATTCTTTTTGGTGAATATTAAGTATAAACTTGAGTTTGGCTCAGGTCCATATATAAGGTCCTCAATGCAAGTTAAGGTTATTTTCACCTCAGGGAGAGATGATTTTCTGATTAAGGAAATAAAATACAAAAGTACAAAAAGTG